AATGGAGTGTTTAATCTCCTGCATATCCATTTGAATCTGTTTTATGGATTCCATTTCTTTCGTATGTTGGGCGTTTATTGTTTCCATTTCTTTCTTATGCTGGGCTTTCATGGCTTCTATCGTGGTCCTGAGCTCATCTATTTTTTTGTCAGTTTCTGTTCTAGAGTCTTGAATCACGACTTTCATTTTGCTCACCATTTCTATGGTTATCTGGGAAATTATTTCTGTTTTGAATTTTTCTAGAGCCTGATTGATCCGTTTTATTACTTCCTGTGCTTTGAGTTCAGGGTGTCCTGGTGGTTCACTATCGGCCTTTTCATCCTCATTTGCCTTACTGTTTGCCATTGGTGAACTGGAAGTCTGTCTTTGTGTCTTGCTTAAGTGTTTTCTCATTTTTATTTTTGTTGTCAGGCTGTCCTTGGTTTAATCTCTGGGTTATCACCCAAATCTTCCTGATGTAGTTGTGCCCTAGCTTCTGTGTCTCTAACGACCCACAGACATTCTCATCTTCATAACATGAGAGCAAACAGTTTATCGAATCAACCACAATCCTTTATCCCAACCAGCAACACAATATGATAAAGCACAACTTGGAAACTGACCACCTGTGGTAGTCACTAGTCTATCATCCTTAAACTATTTGAATTAAATTAAAATCAAGAAGCAGTCCCAAACATGTCTGCAGTAAACAAACTTTTGAATATAGTATATTTATCATTTAGGATGGGGGCTCAGACAGAGCTAGGATGCAAGACCCCTGATCTCAGTTAGCTGATGGCTGACCCCCATGACGCAGACTGACCTTGGGCTGCAAGGCCCAGATTGAGTTCCCCAACCTTCTGAACCGTTGAACTCCACACTGTTCTGCTACAGGTTTCCTATGCCCTGTCTTTAAAGATATTCAAGGTTAGGAATTTATAAAAATTCCCTCTATGACCACCTCTGCCTCTGCAGAATGGGTCCAAAGACTGGCTCAATCAGGAGGTCTGAGAGAGTTATGTGTGTGTGTGTGTGTGTGTGTGTGTGTGTGTGTAGGGGAGTTGCGGGGGTTCATGCGTGCCCATGCGGCTACCTCCCTGGTGCTGTAGCGATGGTGGCTCCCAGTGGGGGAAGGTCTGGCTATCCTTCCCATGGTGGATCAAGGCCCAGGCAGTCCTCCTGGTGCTGGAGTGATGGCGGCTCCCATTGGGGAAAGTCCAGAACTAGTTTTAAACAGCTCCTAAACATAAAATTATATTAACAAGCATTGCAGTTATCATAAGTATGTAATATATGTCATAGTATATTTTATGGGCCCTGATTATACTGATTTTATGTTGAGATGTTAACTATAAATATTGGTTTAAAACTTATAGTTTTCTTTGGTTCATCAGATCAGGTGATAGATTAACCAAACAGGTTCAGATTGAATTAGAGAATATTCTTGTTGCTCATGGCATCTTCAAAAAGTCAGGATTGCCCAGCCACCATTGCTCAAGCGCGGGGAGGTAGCCTTGGCCCTGATCCACTGTAGGAAGGAGAGCCACGCCTGCTCCCGACCCAGCTGCCATCTCTCAAGCGCTGGGAGGTAGGCTGGGCCCAGGTCCACCACAGGAAGGAGAGCCACACCTACTCCCGACCCAGCTACCATCGCTCAAGCGCCGGGAAGGTAGCTGCATGGGCGCCCCTGCACCCCCTTAAGTCGTCCCTCCCCCCGGCACTCTCAGAGCTCCTGTGTCAGTTTTGGACCCACTCTGCAGAGGCAGAGGTGGTTATCAGGGGTATTTTTCTGAGTTCCCAACTTTGAACATCTTTAAAGAAAGGGCTTGGGAAACCTGTAATAGAACGTTGTGGAGTTCAACCATTCAGAAGGTTGGGGAACTCAATCTGGGCCTTGCAGCCCAAGGTCAGTCAGCATCATGGAGTTCAGCCATCAGCTAACTGAGACCAGGGGTCTTGCATCCTCGCTCTGTCTAAGCCATTAAATGGTAAATACACTATATTGAAATTTTGTTCACTGCAGACATGTTCTGGACTGCTTCCTGATTTCAGTTTAATTCAAATGATTTAAGGGTGATAGACTAGTGACTACCACAGGTGGTCAATGTCCAAGTTGTGCTTGATCTTAATGTGTTGCTGATGGTATCAGTTAGGATAAAGCATTGCGGATGATTTGATGAACTATTTCTCTGATGTTATGAAGATGAGAAATTCTGTGGGTTGTTAGAGACACAGAAGCTAGGGCGCAAATATATCAGGAAGATTTGGGTGATAACCCAGAGATTAAACCAAGGACAGCCGGAAAACAAAAATAAAAATGAGAAAACACTTAAGCAAGACACAAAGACAGACTTCCAGTTCACCAATGGCAAACAGTAGGGCAAATGAGGATGAAAAGGCCGATAGTGAACCACCAGGACACCCTGAACTCAAAGCACAGGAAGTAACAAAACAGATCAATCAGGCTCTAGAAAAATTCAAAACAGATAACCATAGAGATAGTGAGCAAAATGGAAGTCGTGATTCGAGACACCAGAGCAGAAACTGACAAAAAAAATAGATGAGCTCAGGACCATGATGGAAGCCATGAAGGCCCAGCATAAGAAAGAAATGGAAAAAATAAACACCCAACATTGGAAAGAAATGGAATCCATAAAACAGATTCAAACAGATATGCAGGAGATTAAACACTCCATAGAAAGTATACACAACAGAATAAAAGAATGGGAAGAGAGACGCTCAGATATGGAAGATAAGATTGCAGTCAGTGACCATGAAAAGAGAGGTCTCTTAAAAACAGTAAGGGATCATGAGAAATCGATCCAACAACTCCTAGATGATGCAAAGAAGAACATAAGACTGATAGGAATCCATGAAGTATCAGGAGAAAATGCAAATGACTTAAAAAAGCTGTTCACAGAATTAATGACAGAAAACTTCCCAAACAGAAGGGAAGAATTTGACATTCAGATAACTGAGGCATATAGGACCCCAAGTAGCTACAATAAAAAAAAATCTGCACCTGGAAATATAATAATCAAGATCCCAGAAACCCAATCGAAGAACAAAATACTACAAGCAGTAAGAGAAAAGAAACAAATCACATATAAAGGAAAGCCCATCAGAATCAAAGCAGACTTTTCAACACAAACGCTTGGGGCAAAGAGAGCCTGGAATGAGATATTTCAAGTACTAAAAGAGAACAACCTCCAACCTAGACTGATGTTTCCTGCAAAACTCTCTTTCAAAATGGATGGGGAAATAAGACACTTCCATGACGAAGAAAAACTGAGAAACTACATGAATACCAAACCAGCCCTACAAGGAATTCTAAACAAGATCCTAGAAAAAGACAATGAATGTAACAACATCATGAAGGCCCAACAGAGCAAATCAAATAGGCAAGGCAAGAAATTAAAAGGAGAAGGTGAAAAAGTAAAAAGAGTCAACAAAAGGCCAATAACATGTCAATAATAAGTCAGTACATATCAGTTATAACCAGCAATGTCAATGGCCTCAACTCACCAATCAAGAGAAATAGACTGGCAAAGTGGAATAAGAAGCAATATCCAACAATATGTTTTATACAAGAAACACACTTAGTGTAAAAAGAAGTCCAGGGACTGAAAGTGAAGAGACAGAAAATAATTCTCCATGTGACAGGAGCCCAGAAAAAAACAGGGGCAGCAGTCTTATTGGCAGACAAAGTAAATTTCAAACCAAAACTGATTCTAGTATTATTGATGTAGGACGTTACTGTATCATACCTCTATGAATGTAAGATATCTTATACCTGCTTTATGATACATAGTAGGGACTGTAATTTATCAGATGTACATTTAATGATATTACTCTAGAATGTTCTCTTTCCAGATAATGATTAAGATGCTAAAAAAAAAAAAAAAGAAAAAATGGTGCGAGGTACCACAATAGCAACAGAACTTTGCTGTATTCTGGATATTATTTTGTTTTTTTTGTTTGTTTGTTTTTGTTTTTTTAATGGAATGTGCTGAACATCTATAATTTTTTTCAGATGACTGACAAAGCTGGAGAAGCTGTTGTTGCTATTGATGCATAACATACTGCCATTATTGATATTTCTATATAAATATAAATATATACATACATATATATAATTTGAATTTTTGAAACTGTAACTGTGCTGTCAACTTTGCTCTTTTCTGGGTATTATTCTTTTCTTTGTTTCTTTTTGTTTTGTTTATTTTTAATGCAATGTGCTGAATGT